GGGAGGAAGGGCTTGGACCCGACCCAAGGGATGACCACTGCCTTTGGATGACAGTGGTGAACATCTTTGGTGCAGGAATGACATCAGCTGTTACTGTTTTTTCTGAAAATAGTGGGTCATTGAAGTCCTCAGAAGGGTCAGTAAGCTCCTGTGGTTCAGGAACCAAGCCTCGCCCTGTGGCTTTTTTCGCCTTGAAAAGGAGCGACCTGAAGATGGCTGGTTGGAACAGACCTGGTATAGAGACTTGGTCAGCATCGTTGAGGCCTTCATCAGTAGTTTCTGTCCAACAGTTGCCCACTTTCAGATGTGACAAGAGTGGGAGCTTTCAGCAGGAACATATGAGCCTGATTCTGAATGCAGGGAAAAATCATCCTCATGAGGACACCTATGTCTCCTGTTACGTCTGGATGAAGGGACTGAAGCCTCTGAGGGTGGATCTCCTAGTCTGTCTCAAGACAGCTGACACCCCTTGCCTTACTGCCTCATTTAACACAGCCTGCATATTAACCTGGTACTCAGGCTCCTGCCCCCTGACTGGCCTAATTCCAGATGACATGGGGGTGAATGTGGCTTCTGGAGCCCTTCTGTGTCTCTGATCAGAAACTGTCAGTTGCTCTGTTGCTGGGCAGACAGAGAACAAATTTCTAATCTCTGAAGCCTCAATAGAGTCCTGCTGCTCTTCAGCTCCCCCTGTGGCCGCTTCTGTTACTGCACTTCCTGTCAGTTTGCAGCTGCCTATCTCCTGTTAATAACGGTCGCTCCTGATTTAGGCAGGAAACTAAAATGGGCGCCATTTCTTCAGAAGTTCGGGCTGCTTCTTTTCCCCGAGCCCACAACTTATCTAGAGCCTTGTCTCTTTGGTGCTCGTCCTGCTCAGCTGGCCGTGCCTTGCAGAACGAAAGCTCGTCCTCTTCGGTGCTCGTCCTCCTGCTGGCCGTGCCTTGCAGAACGAAAGCGCACAGCCCCTGCTTGGGCACCGCTGGGCTGCGCATACCTTACGTGGTGTGCATTGGAGTTCTTTTGAGCCCCTGCAACCTAGTCCTTTGGCTTGGGGCTGTAATAGGGAGCTGTTTGGTCTGGGGTTGCTGGGCTTAGAGACTGTGATGGCCAGCGAGCCATCTCCTTGCCCTCCTGACATCGCAGTTAGCGTTTGACTCCGCCATCTTTAACTCCAAGGTTTTTATTCCAGAGTTGAGAGGCTGAGAGCCTTGCCGCTGAGAGCCTTGCCAAGCCAAAGCGCGGGGAAGCAGTGTGGATGGTGTTTCTACACACCTTCTGCAAAAGGTACCTCAGTACAATGTAGATCAGCCCTCAGCCAATCCGTCATCCGGCGGCCTGGGCTGAAGCCCCCGACCGCGTTGTCTGACAGCTGTCAAACCGGTAGACCAGTTCCTCTTTGAAATGGTATTCAGGATTGGTGTTTTTCTCTGTTTGTTGAATTAAATTCAATTAAATTTTGGTTGTTTAGGAGAAGAAATTAACACGTCGTCCAGCTAGCTGACTGAGTCAATTTCTGGGGAGGTCCCTAACAGCAGAGGGAGTGTCCTCAAAGTTTTGACAGACCCAATCCAATCAGCAAGCAGAGACTGATCACCCAATCCTGAATGCTATCTCCACCACAGTGGAGAATGGTAGGCTTACCAGGCAATGAAATAAGCATAATATGAGGAAACCAATATGTTTCCCAAATTCAGAATACTCTGCCAGTGCTCCAATAGAAAAACCAGGCCACGTATACAACCACTATTATACACTGGGCCTGGATGACATGAGCCAAGACCATGGCCATCATGATGGCCATGAACTCCTGAGATATCTCTGCCCCAATACCCAGGGAAGACAAATTGAGGTCTCCTCAAACCAAAGGTCCTGGGAATTCCACTGCCAAATTTGTCACAGAGTCAAGACGCTCAGGCAGAGAGTTAGAGCTCAATGTAATAAACACAGTATGGTATCACACCCAGCAATCTGAGGAAAGCTGCCCCTGGATGCCTTCATGAGTTTGGGAAGACTGGATGATATTAGACGTAGGGCAATGTTCCCAAAGAAACACATCCAGAAATCTACAGCGTAATCAAAGTGGTGTTAATGTCAGGAAAAGTTATAGCTTGTTTGAGTATATACTAAATATAATAATAAGAGCAAGCAGGGGTTCATCAAGTTTACAGTAGCTAGTGCAATGAATATTTGGAAAGCAAAGCAATTGATTCTGAGAAGATTTTCTAAAGTACTCTTACTGATTAAATAGAGAAAAAAGGGTTGGAGGCCATTAACGTTAGATGGATTCTAACTAAATCCAGAAGGAGTCATTACTGGCAGTGGTTCAATCCTGAGGGAGATTTTGATGAGAAGATAGAGGGTGTTTTTATCAAATCTGAAACCATACAGGTGGAAAGGATAGGTAATATTGAAGATGACAAAAATAGTTCTGTATGCTCAAACCCTAAATTTAAAACCTCAGTTTAAAACTTCATCATCATCACCATGTATGGGAAAACTGATAAGCTATCAGCAGTTGTAAACATACAGAACTTTGAATAAATTGTCAGTTGAATGTAAGTTAGTAAGACTGTGTTTCCCTGAAAATAAGGCCCAGCACTAGGGTTTATTTTTGGAGAAACACAATTTCAGGGTGATCAGCTCAGCTGGGCGCCTTGCCCCCCCTCCCCCAGGGCACACACGAGAGTCAGCAAGCATGTGGGGACCAACGGTATTCAGCAACAGCTGTACCCTGCCAGTCACATGGTTGGTCACTCTGGAGTTGCGCAGAGCAGAAGGCATGGAGCAGAAGGCAGATGATCCCGACGCGTCATGAGGGCTGTAGGCAAGCCGAGACACGTGCAGTTGAGCCTCCCGCGGCTGTCCACCATGCCAGCTCACTGCTGCTCGGCTTTTCCATGCCCACGTGATGCATTCAGATTATGCATGTCGAAATTGTAGAGAAGCAGTTATCAGCTGACTTGTATGAGAACTTTCTTAGAAGCATGAGACCTTTTTCACATGAAAGATTGCTTAAAGATGAAATGGAGTCTCCTTTATTGAAATTATCTAAAGAATGGCCAAATATCACACTCTAAAGCCATATCTTGTCTGTGGAAACTGAATTGACCTGGAATTTGGAATATATGATGTGTAGGATCTAATCACATGATATTCTTAACTGGGTTGGGAGAGATGTATTTGCATATACCCTAACATTTCCTAATAACAATGAGATAGAAAGAACTAGTTAGCTTCAGTTGATGTTTATCCTCGTTGCTGATAAAGAGAACAAATGTTCGGTGGTTCTACAAAACTGAGGAACTTCTAGAAATTATCTCCAACTTTATTATGCAATCATTGGTTTGCAGAGACATTAATGGATAGAAACTGGCTCTCCACTCTTACTCTTAATTCAAACTTCTTTGGGCAATCAGCTATTTGATATGGTTTTAATCTTAGTCTGAAATAAAGTCACAACATAGCTATTATTGATTAAAACCACATCAAACCTCTGACTGAATGACGTTATTACAGCTTCTTCTTTTAAATTCAACTTGGCACCTTTTTCTCCTACTCTTCCAGCAGCTTAATGGAAACCCTGCTTTGTATTTCTCACACTTAGTGTTAGATTTTACAGGTAGTCCTTAGTTCATTTAGTGATTGTTCGAAGTTACAACAGCACTGAAAAAAAGTTACTTATAATCATTTTTCACACTTACGATAACTGCAGCATCTCCATGGTCATGTAATTAAAATTCAGATGCTTGGCAACTGACTCATATTTATGACACTTGCAGTGCCCTGGGCTCATGTGATCCCTTTTTGCAATCTTCTGACAAGCAAAATAAATGGGGATGCCAAATTCACTTAACAACTGTGTTACTAAATTAACAACTGCAGTGATTCATCTAATAACTGTGAAAAGAAAGTTCATAAAATGGAGCATAACTCACCTAACAATTGTCTTGCTTACCTTAGCAACAGAAATTTTGGGCTCAATTGCGGTCATAAGTCAAGGACTATTTACATTTACATATTCACATTCTCAGCACTCCTACTTTGGGACACTAGTTTCTACTGTATCATTTATAAATATTGAAATTGTCAAGGTTCCAACTAATGAGCCCAAGCAAATCAGAACTCTGAGGCTATCATTTTCCTCAAATAATTCCTTTACTGGGCACATACCGGCCCACTTAGCGTAAAACCAATTCTAACTCTTTCCCTTGGTTTCAGCATAGTTTAAACCCAGCAACAACCCTTCCCTCCAAGTGTCACTTATCATGTTGGCCATTTAAGCTTGGTTGGCAGGTTTCTCAGGCACTTCTCTCCTTCTTCTTCCATCACCTTGGTTCTCACAGGAAAGCCTTGTGTCTAGTAATGCATTCCCTCCCCCTCCACCCAGTGTGTGGCAATGGCGAACAGGGAAAATGGCTTCTGCCATTCTGGTTACTACTTTATATCTAATAGGTCCCCAATAAGAACCATAAGCTAAGTATCTGAGTTTGCTTCGTTGTATGACAAGTAACACACACAAAAAATCATAAAATATTTCTATGATTCATTTTTTAGATTTCTTTTGTAATTATCAGTCAAAGCAAACAAGCCCTTCTACCAAACGTAAATAAAAATATATATGACAAAATAACTACTGCATGTTGCAAAGTGTTATTTAACCACAATATGCTTGCTGATAATTGTAACTAGATATGAATCAAATTGTTCTACTCTCAATTTCAAAATTCAAACGCGTATTCATATGACTTAAAAATTAATGGATGGATACATAAACATTTTTGTAAGAAAAATACTTCTAATCCATGATATGCTTCTGAATTACAGCTTCCAATAGTTTTCAGTACCAGTTGTTACTACTTGGATAGTCAGTAATTGTTTGTCATCAACATAAATCACTGTTGGTTTCACAACTCTGCTTAGATTTGCAAAATAGTTCAACAATGATATTCAATTGTTAAAATTTAACTAAGAATGAGATTTTAAAAACCATTGTAGCATACCTGATAGATATCAGATAGACTGCTGCTGCCAGAGTCACTGGTGATACTACATCCTGAATGACTAGATGAAACGTGGGTCACCTGTGGATGGAGACTGTCAGTGAGGTGCAGTTTTGTAAAATCTGCAGGTAGCTGTAAACAGAAGGAGAAAAATATCTTTAGAGTTTGTATAATGGCAAAAATTTCATTAAAAATTTAAAAATTTACACTACATGTTTTTTCTAAGATATAAGCAAATTATTAAGCATATTCATGGTTTAAGAATCTTGGGAAGAAATATTTAAATGTAATGCTTCATATTCATAAGTGAAAAACTTGAATGCTCATTATGCTTAAACAGCAACAGCCTTTGTTATTTTTCAAAGAAAGGAATATGCATATCTAAAACAGACCTTTAGCAGCAATTTCTACTGAAATCATTAAGAGTTTTAGAATTTATAAGAGTACCATGAGTGTAGTACTGATTTATATGAGTGGAACCCCTGTTAATTTTTAAATATAAATGCTTTGTACAGAACTAAAAACAATATTTCAGTTACTAGAATAAGTATTCATCTTTTCTAATGCCTAAGGACTACAGAAAATCATTATAAGTACAATAACCCTCAGTTTTATCAGGGAAAAGCTATGTGTTGGATATGAATTATAGTCAAATTTATAGTCAATCAATTTACATTATTTAGCAACATCATTACACAAAAGATATAAATTGATACAATTTACCCAAATTTCTTTTAAAAATCCATAAAGTAGAATTTATCTGCTACCTGAGATATTAGGAGGAAAGTTTTGTTGTTTGTTACATCTAAATTCTGCTAAACTAAAGTCTTTTAAATTGATGACTTATTGTTCTAAGATTTTACACCTGGCAATGCTTTTACATGTGTTTCTCACATATTAGTATGGGATTAAAAAAGAAAATGTGAATTTTTTATTTGTTTTTTAAAAAAGAGTACACGATGTACAAATTCTCTAACTCTTAATTTGGAAAGAAGCATATTAAAAACTGGTATACCATATAATACTTTCTTTAAGTTCTAATGCCAAGAATGAATTTTGAATCTTGAATCTTTTCAAAAAGTTTACATCTGAAAATTTATTGGCACCAAGTATGTGCAAATTGTTGTCTAATTTCAGGAAATCTTAGCTACTTATAATTTCTAGAAGTACCAGCAACTCTGACCATCTCTTGACACACAATAAAGTGTTTCTTGCCCTCTATCAATTTCTCTAACCATTTTTTATTTTGGAACTGAACCAAGCATGGAACAAATGACTGGACCACAAATATTGAACAACAGTATTCAGAAGGAGACTTAGCTCAGCTCAACTGAACTGTTCCCAATTTGAAGTCTTCAAACAGTGAAGGACATTTTCAAACAAGAACACGGGTATTCCCAGCTGAACCTAAAGAAATTCAGTTGATATTGATAGTAGTAGTGATTTCCTTGAACTTCCCATCTTTGGTCTGCATTTAATCATCTAACAGGTATATCCTATAATTTACTTTCCATACCATCCTATTCAGTTTTGTACAGATCAGTAATTTACAGCAGTGGTCGCCAACTGGTGGTCCGCAGCCCACTGGTGGTCCATGAGAAAAATTTGGTGGTCGGCAGGGAAATGCCACCCCAAAGTAATTAATCCAGGCTGTGGGGGAACACAAGGCTGTGCCACCCACATGGCCCGGGAACACAAGGCTTGCATCGCTTGCATTAGGAACAATACAAGGTAGTGAGGGGAGGGGGGAGGGGGGGGGGGGGGAAGGGGGGGAGGGGAGAACTTGCCTGGCCACCGGGTTGCTTCTTTCCGCTTCTTTCATTTTCTGCTTTTGGCTGCATGCAAGGATAGCAGCAAAAGTCTTTCTTTCTATCCCCCAAACTCTGCCAGAAACGAGTCTTTGGGACCCTACAAGGCATCCTGCTCCAAGAGGCTGCAAAGACTCATTTCTGGCGGAGTTTGAGGAAGAGAAAAAAAGGCTTCTGCTGCTTTCCTTGCATGGCAGCCTGAGAACGGAGCTCAAAGCAGGCTAGGAATGGGGCTGCCTTGGAGGGGGTGGGGGGGTGTGAGGGAGAGAGAGAAAGCAAATCAAATTCACCCGGGGCGGGGGGGGGGGCAATTTGCACATCTCTGTGTCTTTTCTTTCCAGTCTCAAAATGGTGGTGGGGGGGTGAGGAAGGAAGATCCACATTGCTGGGGAATTAAATTCACGGGGGAAATTTGCATGGCTTGACTGCTACAGAGTGACCTATATCAGGAAAACGTTAGATAGTACTGTGCATTCAAATGTTTGTCCTGTAATAACTGGAATGAAAATGGAGTGGAAATGGGTATTTCGTGCTTGCTGACAAACTTTCATAAGTGTGAAAGTATAGGGAAAAAATACTAGTTACACATTACTCTTAACAAAGGACAAAACACCAGGACTTTGGATCCCCCCCAAACCCAAAGGATAAGAGAAGCCCTTTCCTTTCCCTTCACTCTGCCCCACAGTTCCCATTTAAGTTTAATATAAAAAATAAAATTTTTACATTAAATATATTATCTTTTTTTTAAAAAAAAAAATCATATTAGTGGGCCTCGGGATTTAAAAGTTTGAGTTTCGTGATCCCTGAGGTCCAAAAGGTTGGCGACCCCTGATTTACAGCATTATAGTCATACAATGCATGTTTAACCCATTCTATCCCCCTCTTCTCTGCTCACATAATTACATTGATAAAACACTTCACAGATGATAAGCTGAGGTGGGCCATTAAAGAAATACAAGGAAAAGATAAAAACAACTTTTGTTAAATATTGATACTTTTAACCATTAGCTAAAATATAATCATAAATATAGTCTTAGACACAGATAAGTAGGTCATTACTCAGGTGATCTTGATGACGCAGACAAACCCCCAAGTGGCACAACTTTCTAAAAGAATGCAAATGACCAGCTGCCTTCAAGGAATATAAATCCCCACCATCCAGTCTTGAAACATCTTAAAAACAAAAACAAAAAAACAAGAAAATCCACTTGCCTCTTGAAAAAGCATGTTTGGGAAAATTATGACCTGGGTAACTGAGAATCTCCATAGAAATTTAGCCTTCTTCAATCTCTTTCTAATTTTCTATACTGAACTAACTTCACTATATGGAAACACTCCAGTAGCCCATCTAGGCATCATCTATTTACTTCCTCAAATATTCAAACTAGTCACCCAGGCTGCCATATTGTTTCAAGCACTGGAACTATCACAACTGAAATATCAGGGTTCACTAACTTATTACTCAGACCTTACACCAGCAATATAACTATACCAACATCTTCCACAAAGTCCTCAATTTATGACCATTTATTTAATGTTCAAAAATATGAGGCTAAAAAAAGTTATTTATGACCAGTCCTTACACTTCTGACCACTGCAACATCTCCATGTCAGGGTAATGAGGATTTAATAGCTGACCAGCTGCTGTAATGTTGTAATACTGCAATGTTGTAATGATGATGCAATGGTAGCAATGCTGATTACTGATTGCTGTTTGTTCGAGGCCACCCAGGAGCACAAGACAACCCAGGAGCAAATATATCCATACATACATACATACATACATACATACATACATACATCCATACATCCATCCATACATACATACATACATACATACATACATACATACAAATACAAACCTGTGTGCTGTATTTGCTCCTGGGTTGTCTCACCTAGTCACACTGTGTGCACTCTGACATTACATAGATTGAAATTTGGGTGCTTGGCAACCAGCATTTATTTACAAAGGTTGCACAATGGATTCACATAATGATGGTGTGATTTTCTTAACCACCATAGCAATTTGTTAACCACAGTGGCAAAAAAAAGTTGTAAAATCAGATGTGACTCTCTTAACGACTGCACTGCTTAGTGATGGAAGTTCCAGTTCCACTGTGGTCATAAGTCAAGGACTCCCCATAAATTTTAAGCCATAATCACTGCTGCTAAAACAGCATGCCTTATGTTAGCTTCCCTAGATACTCCAGGCCAAAAAAACCAACTCCACAAGAAAGCTAAAACTACTTTTATTGAGATTACCTATAGAAACATAATTTTGTAAAGCTGATTGCACTGAGCTTTTCCTGCTTTTCATAGTTCAATGAATTAGGGACACATCTGTATAAGTCACTTCCAAACGTTATCTGCACATTCTGGAGATAAAAAAATGCTCTAACATGTTATTTACAGTTCAAACCACTCTATTGTATTAATCAACCACTTACTGGACAATGAAACTGCATTTTCACAAACACTTGATGGCAGGTCCAAACTGCTCATTCTTAATCAAATTCTCACAAGGAACAATAAACAACAGGACAATAAAACTAACATGGGAACCAGACCCTACAACCTTAGTAGGGAAACCAGATCTTACAAGAAATATACTTGTCTAAGGAAGTCTATTTTGCCATTATACACTAAAAACATCATTACAGGTTCCAATAAGGGTATGCAGAAGATAAAAGTGCCTCCATGGTGATATATACCATTATCTGCTACTCTGGATACTAAATGTATAACAGGGACCAGTTCTGTGCAGAAGGATTAATGTACAGTTTGACATTAGAACTCCAAACAATGAAAATATAACATCAGAAGATTTCAAACTCCAAGAACAATTTATGGCGGAACTCAAACCATCATGAAAAAGCAGGAGTTGAACAGCACCGCTGAGCTACAGATTACTGAACTCACATACATGGAAAGATTATAGGCAATCACAAAAAGGCTCAACAATGTGTTTTGACACATTACAATTGTTAAAGTACTTACCGTATTTTTCACTTCATAAGACACATCCCCCCCCCCCCCAAAAAAAAAAGTGGGTTGAAATGTCTGTGTGTTGTTGCTGATCCTTTGAACAGCAGATGGGCTGCTGTGGTGGGGTCCTTTTACAGTGCTGAACCCTGCCTCTTCTGTCTTTGTCAATGCCCCTCTTCTGTCTCTTTTCCACAGTGCAAGAGTCAATAGGCCAAGCTGGCACATGCTAGACACCTATCTGTGGTCCTCTCAGGCTCCGCCTGATATTTTTTTTCTTGTTTTCCTCCTCTAAACCTAGGCGCGCCGTATGGTCAGGTGCATCTTATAGTGTGAAATATA